TGGATGCAAGTGCAGAGGAGAACACTCGTGTTAGATATCGTATAAAGAGGCTTACGTATACACAACGTGAATTTGCGGATGAGTTTCACGAAACACCAAAGTCAGCGTTCACATTTGCCAAGGTCAAGTCTGCTCTTCGCAAAGTCCGACTAAAAACGTTTGGTTTTGAGATCTTCCCCATCTTCAAGTCACTGATGACGTATTACAATTTGCATTGTTTCACGCTTGACATAATTGCAGGCATAACGATGGCATTCTTCCATCTTCCTCAAGGTAGTTGCTTTTCCAACATTTGAGCATTATATGGTTCTAATAAAGGTATGGCATATGGAGCACTTGCTGGTCTTCGTCCCATAAATGGCTTGTACACCTCGTTCTTCCCCGTCCTGGCCTATTTCTTCTTTGCCACTTCTCGACACAATTCAATTGGTACGCGTTGGACATTTAATCCTCAAGGTGTTTAATTAAGCTGTGCAGTAAGTTCCTGCTTCTCTCTAAGGCACGTTTTCCCTGGCTTCTCTCCTCTTCTCTGAGCCCATAAATCGTCTGACCCTTCAATATTATAATCCGCGTCATCCCAGCAATAGTACAGCTATGTCAGATGAGGAGTACGCCTTCCGACTGGATTTGGCCTTGACACTTGCCTTTTGTGTCGGAGTATTGCAGGTAATTTGCTGCCTTGTTGATACACTCCTTATCGTCTTTATGCAGATTATCATGGCATTGCTTCAAGTTGGATTCTTGGCTGCCTACCTTTCTGGTCCACTGATAAGCGGTTTCATGTGCGCTTCTGCATTTCATGTTGTGGCGAGTCAGTTTAATTACCTCTTTGGAATCAAACTGCCTCGTGTGTATGGTCCAGGAAACTTACTTCTCGTAAGACTTGATATGCGCCTTCTTGGAGTCGATCTCGTTTTTCAAATAGTTGGTGAATTGTTTTGGATTTTCTTTTTGATTTTTAGAAATTTTACAACTTGTGCACGCATATAACTGAAGCGAATGTTGCCACGGTTGTCATCTGCATCATCTGTATTGTCGTGCTGCATGTGTTCAGGATGTACATAAATCCTTTCTTCCGAAGGAAATTGAAGTTTCCGATCCCAGTGGAGCTGATGCTCGTAAGTGTACACTTGCAGCTGATTGTATTGCGTCACAATTGTTAAGTCTGTTTTGACAAAAAGTGTTTATGACTTGGCTCTCACAGAAAACGGTAGATGGTTTGTGTTGGTTGCTGTCACATTTTATTGATTGAGTTGGCTAATGGTGAAATATGTTGTTAATGTTGGGGACGAAGTATGGGCTTATTGT